GGCCTAACGTTCCAATTTTTTTATTACATTTTTTAACGAAACGCTTATTAACATTTCGTAATTTTTTTTCATTTTTTTTCCTTTCTTCTTTTAGGTCAGTGGGTGGGCTTCTGAGTTCCGAAGAACAGAAAACCAAGATTCGTGAGATAAGTATGAATCTTGGTTTAATTTTTTTTTCTTTTTTTTTAATATTATTAATAAACGGTTACTAATAACCGTTCTTTTCTTTTTTTTAGGTTTCGGGTGGGCTTCCAAAGATTGGAAAAACCCAAAGATTCATAAGTAAGAATCTTTATATATATATTTTTTTGTTTTTTTTTATTAATAAACGGTTACTAATAACCGATCTTCTTTTTATTTTTTTTAGATTCGGTGGGCTTCTAAAGAATGAAAACCCAAAGATTCGTAAGTACGAATCTTTATATTATTTTTTGTTTTTTTAATTTTATTAATGAATGGTTACTAATAACCGTTCTTTTCATTTTTTTAGGTTCGGGTAGCTTATGATCTTTGGAAAAAGTGGAACCAAGATTTGTATTACGAATCTTGGTTTTATTTATTTTTTTTTTAATATTATTATAAACGGTTACTAATAACCGTTCTTTTTTTTTTGTTTAGGTTCGGGTGGTTTTCCAAAAATCAGAGGAACCAAGATTCGTAAGTATTCCGAATCTTGGTTTTAATCTTTTTCTTTTTTTAAAAAAAATACTATGAACGGTTACTAATAACCGTTCTTTTCTTTGATTTTTATAGGTTCGGGTGATTTCCGACGAATGGATGAACCAAGATTCGTAAGGTATGAATACGAATCTTGGTTTTATTATTTATTTTTTATTATTATTTTGGAACGGTTTACTAACCGTTCTTGTATTTTTTTTTATAGGTTCGGGTGGGCTTCCGAAGAACGGAAAACCTAAAGATTTGTAAGAAATCTTTACTTTTTTTTTATTTTTTTAATTTTTTTATTATTACAAACGGTTTACTAACCGTTCTTGTATTTTTTTTTTTAGAAGTTCAGGTGGGTTTCGGACAAACGAAGGAACCAAGATTCGTAAGTACGAGTACGAATCTTGGTTTTTGTTTTTTTATTATTATTTTGGAATGGTTTACTAACCGTTCTTTCTTTTTTTTATAGGTTCGGGTGGGCTTCCGAGTTCCGAATAATGGAAAAAAAAACCAAAGATTCGTATTATGATACGAATCTTGGGTTTTTTTTTAATTTGTTTTTTTTATCTATTTTTTATAGGTATCCGGTTCCTTCAGCGTTGGACTTTTAATTAGATTTCTCAACGTTAGACGTGGCGTTGCTGTAGATTAGCATTTTGGAATGAATTGGTAAGTTTAGAATAAAACTTACATTTTTTTATTTTATTTTTTTTATTTTTTTTTTAAATTTCTCTTTTCTTTTTGTAGTCCTCAGTCAGATTTTTAGAATAAGATTGTGTAAGTTTCGTTAACGAAACTTAATTTTTGTGTTTTTTTTATTTGAAACCTTATCTTGTTATGGTTGTGTTACCAGGGGCGCTTTGTCAATGGAAATTTAGTACGTTGATCGCTTAAAAATCCGCGGCAATCCAATTATAACAAGAGGAATTGATTTTTCATTAGATAATTTGATAATTTAATGTAATTTGTATTGTAACTGTATTTATAAATAAATTTACAATTAATGAAATGTTAATAATATACAATAATATATATATTAATAAATTAATACTATTAAATTAACTACATTGCTATACGCGTTTTTAATATCAATATACGCGTTTTTATACATTATATACACGTTATTAAACTAGTGTTATTTTACTGTATGTTGTTTTACACATAAAACACTGTTGCACTACGCGGTTTTCAACATTTTTAAGTGGTGTTGATTGACAAAGGGTTAGTATCTTTACACTTTTTGGTGTTGAGCAACACATGGCATTTTTCAACACTTTATACGCCTGTTTAAAACTTGCTGATGTTATGAAAGAGACGAAATTCTTGTGGTGACAGAGTGGCAGAAGCTGTCATTGCACCATTATATTCTTGTCATCATCCATTGATTGGTATATGATTTGCTCCTGTTGCATGTTCATTTGTTGATTGTTGTCCATGATGACTGTTGTTCTCACATTCGTTTCCATTGTTATTATTCCTTGGTTTATATTTATCATTGTTGTAGTTTCCTCTATTTCCATTGAATCTTCTGTTTGTTTTATATTTTCCTTCGTTGCCACTGTATGACTGTATCTATTTCTTCCATTATAATATCTTTCTCTATATCTAGTCTTTTCATTATAAGTTTGATATTATCATCTTCTGTTATCAAATCTTCCTACTTTATTGTCGTAACCTCTTTGTCCTTTACTGTAAGAATTTGATCTTTGTCCATAACCACGAAAAAACTGCTGTTTATTATAATAATAATTTTCTTGCGTTAGCCATGTATATTTCTCTGAGTCACTTTTTGTATATCATAATAATGACTCTTAAAGTAAATTATTAAATCAAATCTGTTACTCCGTCCATATCTAGCAATAAACCATGCATTTCTTGGATATTTATGTTTTCGTTGAATCCCATAATTGTTGCTCTAAATTGTGAACTCATTTCTTTTTGTCTTTGAGTTAATCTAGCTGGTGTAAAATTAACTCCTATGTTTAAATTCTTTATTTGTAATGACCATGTTTCGAAAAATATTCTGTCTGTGCACATGACTCGTAATTCAACTTGTGTTCTTCAGAATTAATATTTTCAAATTATGCCCACGTGAGCGATTGATTCAGTTAAATTATTTTTGTCAATATTATTAGTCTTATAAATTTTCCTAGTTTCTCCTGAATTTCTTTGTGTTCGAGATATTTATTCCTCAATTATTTGCGCAGGTAAACATTTGTCCGATTTAAAAAAAAAATAAACATTTGTCTGATTCTCACACCCATATTAGTAATTAGTAATTGATAAACATTCTTTTCTATCATCATCGTTATATTGTGTCTCATATTTTTGGAATTACAGTTTTTAGTAGTTATTAGTTCTGTGTATCAAATTATCTAAATTTAGTGGTTTATTTCTTGTATTCAAAACTATTTGAGCTTTCTGATGTATATGTCGATCATTCATCATTAATTGTTCTTTCCCTTTATTGTTATTATTCTTATGGTCAGAAGTCATTTCCATCTCATTATCATAATCCACATGTCTTCCATCTAGACTTTCCCAATCAAGAACTTGTCTTCTTTGTAGAGAATATTTGAAAGGTTAAATGCGCCGTTTTTATTACTATCATATATTTGGCTAGCTTTAGATGCTTGTATTTGGTTATTGTAGTTCCCTTGTTCTGTTGCCAGTATGTTTCTTTGGATCTACATTTTTATAATAATTGTCAAGGTCACTTTCTAGCGCCACTACTCTATTTTGTAAAAATGTGTTCTCAGCATTATTGATATCTAGAAGGATCATTGCTATTAAACTGAATATATGATAGTTTTAAAACATTCACATCTCCAGTATCAGAAACAAAATATATCAAGCTTAGATAGTCATATTATTCATCTAAAAGTGTAGTTGTCTGCTATCTTACGTGAAATAAACTTCCATTCTCTAGCTTGCCAGGAATTTATTTATATGGTAGATGTGGTAGATGAAAATTTACCTTTTTATTAGGCTCTTCAGGTGGAATATCATTAATTTTTGCCAAAAGTATTCCACGAATGGTCGCAAATAGTTTGGTTACTTCACTTTTAAGGTGTTCATCATTAACCTTAACTTTGTGAAGTCCGAGTATCAAAGGCTCTTTGGTTACTGCCACAAATTTATTTTTGAAAGTGACCATTGTGAAGTACCACTTATCTCCTGTCATTACCATACCATATACATATTCAAAATCATTTTGATCTCTTTTTCTCTTGAGATCTTTAAGGTTGTGCTATGTGTGGAATTTTATAATTTTTAAATTCACAATTCATACTTAATACAAATAAAGGAATATAATACTTACTTGACAGGCAGTTTGCACTTGAATAAAATTTTCACAAAATCCATACTCTAAATCCACAACCTTAACTTCTGTCACACAGAATATTTTTTTAATGTATGTAATGGCAAAATCTGTATGACCTTTCCCGTAAGTACCAGATATATTAAATTCCCGATGCATCTTAATATTATAATTTTTGTCAAATGTTGAAACCACTCCACGTAAAATAGTTGCAACAAAATCTGTGCGTTCTGCCTCATTCTCACATTTGTCTAAGCTTCCAGATGTTTTTAAGATTAGCTTAAGAAAATCAGTATGAGTTAGTGAAATTAAACATTAACCATACAAACACAACTGCATGATATAAAAAGATTTTGAAGCAAACCTTTATGTAAGCTACAGCCAAATTGATATTGTCATCGTATAATGACATATCCGCACTAGGTGCTTAAGAAGAAAATAAAAGTCAGAATTACAATTAAAGCTACTAATTATCAGATTACTTACGAAGTTCTAACTGCAGCAATTCGTTCATTCTCTCTATTGATACCCCAAAGATAGACTCCAATTGTAAGAACTTCTTATAGGCAGAGTTCATTCTCTCTATTGATACCCCAAAGATAGACTCCAATTGTGAGAACTTCTTATAGGCAGAGAAATCTTGTTGTGCTATATAAAGTAATTAAAAATATCAGAAATGATTGAGTTAATGCATGGAAATGTAGTTTTACAGGTGGAAAAATGATGTATTAATTAGAATAAAGTTAAATACTTACAACATTCCACTTTGAAAGAAATTTGTTTTAATTTCTCATTATGATCAGGATGGGCTTCCAGGAACGCTATAAGCCCATCCTGATCATTAATTTTTGCAATTAAATTAAGTGGAATTATCAAAATTGTTGATGCATCAATGTCTTGCAACAACTTACCATATTCATTTTTTATTTTTATGGTAAGTTGTTGCCAGACATTTTTCATATTGGAAACAAAAAGAAAATTTTTTTTATGTTTCCCACAAATCGGTTCGGATCATAGTTTTCTTAATGTATTTACACCTGGTGTGGCACAGAATGCTGGTCGGTGAGTACGAATTCACATGATTACGTGAATTTCTTTGTGTATGTGAAATTTTTGTTGGATTGTTGGGTACACTTCGCACATATTAAGAAATTTTCTATATAATTACCTTTTCCAAAAACTTACAATCTGGGCTCTGTTCCGTTCATTAGTAAATTTCTAAAGGTCAAAAAGTCATTAGAAAACTTCTATGACTCAGTTACTGACTATACCAAAAACAATTTTTCCACCCAGGATAATACAATTCCTATGCTCCGCATTACGTTAGGAGTGGATCTCCATAATTGCATGCTGGCAGGGCCACCCAAATATGCGTGATAGCACGAACCATCATCACATACCCGAAGATAGTACTATAGTTTCATACCTTCCGCATTATCAGGCGATCCACTCCATGAAAATGCTGGCATGACCCCCCAAATATGCTAGGTTATGTAAATATTATATATATGTATTGTATATATATATATATTCGTACTTTCTTTTGATTTTTTGCAAAGTAAGATACATAACTGACCCTCCTCTGGAATCAGTAGATCTTTAATCAAAGAATGTACGCGAACCATCATTACATACCTGAGAATAGTACAAATACTATACTGGATTAGAATAACTGTTTGGTACTTGGGGAGATGGATACTTACTTTTATTGCATTACTTGCTTGTATTTTCTTTTCTGGTACATTTTCTAATAATTTGAGAAATCGCAAGTAGTTACGATGTTCAATAGTTTGTGTTTCTAACACACCTTTCTCCTTGCAATTACACAAATATCCGAACAATGTCCAGTTTTCGGTATCAAAGTAGCTACACATAAAAGAGCTTTATAAGTATTTTAACTATTAAAACTTCTATATTGACCATTACGTACTCTGGGAAATTTTCTTTGTCCATGATGAGAATAAAAATCGCGTTTACTGAAAAATTATTGAAAAAAGTTGTGATATTTTTATACTTTTTTATATCAACAAATTCATCAGTAAATAAATAGTATCGTTTATCAAACTCAGATCACATCAAGCTCAATCAACGTGACACCGCGCAGTTTAATTGAATTATTGTATTTTTATATATACTGTATTTTATAATAGGCAGTTAATAGGCTTATGACGATAATAGAAATCATTTAAACATATTACCAAGCTCGTTAATAGTGCTAGTAACAATCTTATGAATAAATGTTTTAGGATTACAATATCATAATTTCTGGCCCATTGTAATAAGTTTAATTTATACAAGATGATGGGTGCAATATATAAATCTCGTCATTGCAGATGAAAAGCTAGCAGGAACTATTTGGGGAAAATGAAAAGTATGCTTTAATGGACGGAAGAAAAAAGTTTGGTACGAGATGGTGAATTATTCTTTGACGCAATGGACCAATTAGAAGTTGCAACATCAATCTACGTCGATTGTTAACCATAATCACAAGTAAAGAAGTTGTGGAAGAATTTACGAACTAGAATAAAGATTTTAGTGAAAGATTACCGTTAAAACCGTTAGTTACAACGAAACCAAAAGAAGATAATCTAAGTTCGGATGATTACGACGAGACGAGGGATAGTAATAAGAAAAGCGTAAAAGAAAAAAGTGATAACGAGGGGTGATATTCAGATTAATATAAATGATATACATGGAATATTGAAATTATTAGTTGATAGAGTTAATATATATTCATACAAATTGTAGTAAAAATTTATAAACTTTATTAACTTTCACAAATAATTTTAATTTTTAATATAGTTATTTTTAATTTTTCTTATTTTAGGTTACAATTAGTAAGTAGAGTATTTAGCATACCATTCGGTAGACTGTTTAGTTATAAGGTTATTCAGTTTTTTTTTTAATTGTTTACCTCTATGTATTTTTTAAATAATGTAATGTATAATATTATAATTTATAAATCAAGTAAACTTTAAAGGTATACGATTATGATTTAATAAAAGTTATTATGTGGTAAACAAACAATAATTATCAAATTGGTATTTTTTCAAAACCTCGTAAATTGATACAAGTTTCCTTTATGCTTCCAAAAAATATTTTGTGCTACGTTTCTTAATTTTGTTACACCATTAATCTTTAATTGACCGATTTATTTCGTTTGTTTACTGTTTGGATGGTGTTACACACCGTTTTTTTTTGTTTACTGTAGGACTTATTTCGGTAGCTTGTGGTGGTAAACGTCTTTATGACAGGCACAAGTTTTATTAAATTTAATAAAAATTACTATAATTCCCGAGTTTCATACTAAAATAAAAGTTAATAATAAACTGAAAATTTGAAGAAGGAAAATAAAATGATAAAACTAATTTTAAGAAAATTTGAATATCTAATTTAAACGTTAAAGAACCAATTAAATTAATAAATCCCTATTTAAGATATCATATAAATTAATCATTCGAAACTACACCAATTAAAATAATAATTGCTTTTTCAAGATGTCATAAATTATTATTGGTTCGTTTCCTACTGCCTTCGTCACAATTATGTAAATCATTTCCAGGGTATTTTTTTTTTTTTTAATTGATAATCGTATTTTATTCATAGTAAATGTGAAAGAACATATTACATATATATCAAAAATACATTGAAATTTAGCTAACATTAATGAAAACTAAATCTCTCCATATCAAAATTGCCGTATAATAAAACAGAGTAGAAGCTACACTAAAATTTGAATACTAGACTATATACGTTATCCTAAAATTTTATCTAAAATATTAAATTTTTAACTATTATCTGATGTTAAATTATCTATCTAATTTCCTACCTCCTTTTGTTCAGGTTGTCACGATGCCTAAAAATTGACGATGACTCACTTTGTTGCCAATCCATCGAACAACCATTATCTCTTGAGGTGGCATTCTTACCTAAATTTCTACGCTGATTTCTTTGTAATTTTCCATCTTAGTTTATAAAATCGTCTTGTTCTTTAACTTGCAATCCAATTCCATAGTCTTCACATCTCCACGAACCTCCTGTCGCGTTCCTTAAGGCGTTCTCGCCTTTGAAATACAAAATGATGTGGCGAGCCTTACAAACTCTAACTATTTTCCCAAAAAATGCCGTATATTTATTCACATATTCTTTGATAATTAAACTATCCACTTTCGAATTATCATCCGCTATTCTTTTACTTGCTTGCCAGCAAAATTTATTTCTCATTTGATGATACGTCAATCTTGAATCAAACATCCTAAAGAAAAATTTCCGATTATTCTTTGTGATCGACACGTTAACGCCACCATCTTTGTATATTTGTTCGTAAGCATTACTAAAATGAATGTGGCATCTAACCGTCTTATATTTATAGCATCGTTTGATTCGCATACTTTTAATTAGTCCTACATTATTTATCAAACGTTCGTAAATTTCCATATCGCTCCAATACTAAGGAATATCGTAAAACGTGATATCACGTGACATCTCGGCAAAATTGTACACGCTTCCTATTACGATTCGATCTTTTTTTTTGTTGTAGTCTCGTTATGACTTCCATAACAGTATTTGCCACTGATTTCCCATTACTTCCTTGAGCTTTGAATTTTCCCCGTATCCTGTTATTTTCTTCCGTTTTTTCCAATATAATTCGTTCCTTTGCCGTTACATCAGCTTCTAGATTTTTTGATGTCGTCATTTCCCTTAGCTATGATTTGTTCTTTCACTTGCACTTCGGCTTCTAAATCTCTAACTCTGGCGTTTAAACTAACTATCCGATTTTCATAATCAATGATCATTTCTTCAAATACCTTGTGTTCTTTGGTCCAACTTTAGATCTCTTGCTGTTACGTCAGCTTCCAATTCACTAATTTTATCTTGTAGATCTTTGCTTCCATGCGCAGTAAAATTCTCACGAAATATATTTTCTATTATTTTCTTGAGGACCTCTCCGCTCCATTTTGCCATGAATAACACTATAAAATAATACACCGAAGAAACTTTCGTCTCTCGTTTGTTAAGCCGTATAGGTGTTTTACCCGGTTTACTAAAAGCGTTCAGTCCCAAAGTCTTCTTTTCGTACTCTATATATTCGTCTACTTTTTTAAGCTCTAATATATCACTATATATTTTGTCGTATATATCTTAAAACTGTTCATAAAACTCTTTCAAATAAAGTTTGGTATCAACTTCTATGAGCTCCTCACAAGTTTCTTCGTTTGTTTGCGTCATATTTTTATGTTTTGTTAAGCGTTTTATATATAAAAATATGTTTTATTTTTCTCGTAAATTTTTGGTATTGAGGATCGTCAGCCATTTCCAGGGTATTCACTTCATCAAGTACCGATCCCCAAATATATGTAACAAATAAAAGTTTAAAGTTATTACCCACCGTTTCCACGATAAAATATCTAAAAATGAAACACTAAAATTCCCAAATAAAAACAAAATGGTAGTTTAACGTCATTCCGGACCTTAAATGATCCCTATCTATTACCACACTTGACCATCCTAATTCCCATATTAATGATAGTTTAAGGCAGCAAATTAAAAACACTTTACACTTAAACTAATACAATACTGCGCCCAAAATTAATATATTCACTAGACACATTACTTAAAATAGATAATTATAATCATGCTTTTTCGATTTCGGAAATTATAACTAGTTTATGATGGCGAACTTCAACATTGGTGATCAGGAGGTGGAAATGAGTTTTTTTTAAAGACTTTCATCAATAGATAGATTGTATTATATAAATAAAAATATAAAAGTTATAATTTCTTATACATTTTTATTCATATTAATAATATATTTGTAAAAATTTAAAAATTTACAAGTTTTGATATAAAACAAAGTTTATTAATGTGAAGCGCTTATAACAATTTTGATTTATTATCACAAACAAATTTAAAAAAGTATCAAATAAAAAAATTTAGCATATCAGATATCGTCAAAAATATTAAAAATAAAAAGATATTATCAATAATAAAATATTATATATCGATATTAATAAAAAAATATGACAATTAAATTTTTCAAGTGGTGTTAAATTGCATGATTTCCATTAACCTTAATTATTATTTTCATTAATAAAAAGTATAAATAACTAATAAAAATTATTATGTATTAAATAAATAATATATTAATTTTCTAACAAGCTAAATAGAAAAAAAAATAAGCAAGAGTAACTAGCAAATTATCCGATTTTTGATATGATAAAAAAAGTTGCATAATAAATCTTACGATTATAATTTTCTTTATAATTTAAATTTATACATTAATTTATTTTCTAAAACGTGATAATACTGTCTTACTAGTTATTAGTATAAAGAAATGTTTATGTAAGTACAGAGCTGTGAGCTTAATAAATAATTATTCGTTTTCTTCAGTCAGGGATTTGCATATGATACAGAAAAGAAATTATTTTTAAAGATTTTAAAGCAACCTTATAATAATTCACATTATTATTATTATTCTTATTCCATTGAACAGTTTCATAATTCTTTTTTTCTTTCCAGATTGCTTTATATATTATTTCCAAAACCTCCTTTTGCAACATATTCAATATTTCATATTCAATCCATTCTAATTTTTCCAAACTATTTCTTGCATTAATCTGAGAATCTCGAATTAATTTATCAACATTAAAATTTCCACTTGTCCAATTTTTGAAATTTTCTTGAAAATGTTTAGCATTACATGATATAAAAATAGAAAATTTAACGTATCAATATGTTAAAAATTTTTTTTAATAAAAATTATTTAAGCGAAAATGTGAAGTGGTTTAATAGTTTAGTCGACCAATGTTTTTTTTCAATAAATTTGTGTCATTCAATGTACTTCAAAATTGGTAATGATATGCGGTAATGCGCCACACACCAGGTATATTGGTCACAGAAATAATCACATGATATTAAGTTGTTTTACATTTTTACATCTTTTTGTATTAGATAATATGATATTATTGTCTTTATAAATGTACAAGTTGTACTACGATAAAGCGATCAATATAAAAAAGATAAAAAATCATTTTTTAAGTTTGAATAAAAATAAAAAAAAAACTATTTCAACAAATAGTAATAGTCACTATTTATTTTTCACTAAAATAATGAATCTATAGATTGTTTTATTTACCAATGCTTATAATTTATCATATAATATTGATTAAAAACATTAGTCCCGATGCGAAACAACGGCATGATACTAGTATTCCAATAAAATACATATACTGTAGTAGTAATAAAGAAATTTATATTCCTTTTCTTTTCTTTAGCTATTTTTATCTATAAAATGAATCATTAAACAAATTGTTAATATTATTAGTAAAATTATACATGTAGGAAGCAAATTAATATAAATGAGTACCTAGGTTGAGTTTAGTGAAATCTATTGCTTCTATGGATAAAGATAATTTTACATCAATAATTTCAAGAATTTTAAGAATTTTATAAAAATAAACTAAGACATTAATTACCTGAATATTTAAATGAATTATCATCATCTTTGTCATCAACAGCATTTTTTGGTTCTGGTAGATCTTTAAAGATTAAAAGTCTACTTGTGTAAACTGCTTGAGGGTTCGTAGTATATGAAAGAGTAGTACCATTATATGGTAATGAAGAAGAAGTAAACTTTTCATTAATTTTATCTGCTTCTTCAATTTGTTTATTGATTTCCTGATCACTCTTATAATTTTTACTTGAATAATATAATTCAAATAATGAATTATGTAATTCTTTTGCTTTAGGTCGTTTTAAAGGATCAGCATCCCAACATTGTTTAATTATGTCCAAAATTAGTTGAGGAATTTTGTAATCAGATTTTGGTCTAAGCCCTTTACAAATGCTAATTGCTAAGATTTTATCATGAGCAATATCATGATAAGGAGGAAGCCCTGTACAGACATCATATGCAATAATTCCAAATACATAAATATCACTTTCTTGAGTATATTCTAATACTCTTAAAACTTCAGGCGCTACATAAGGTAATACTCCATATACTTTTTTATACTCATCTTGAGAAGATTTTACATTTGCTGGCCGACATAATCCTAAACCAGTAATACGAATATAACCATCATGATTTAATATATTACCACAATGAATATTATGATGAATTAATCCTTGACTGTGAATATCCTCAAGTCCATTTGCAATCCTTTGTAAAGAGTTCAACTTTTCTCCCTATTTCATTGAATTAAAACTATTATTTAAACGTTGTCTTAAACTGCCATCTTTTGAATATGGCATTACCATCATAAAATTATTAGATTCTGGATCTTTAGTAATACCATAACAAAAAGTTACCTTATCCGAAGAAATCGTAGTATGTAATTCAATCTAAAATGATTCGTATATAATAACAAATAATAATCAGTTTAGTACTTACAAAAGGAAAATATCTAAAAAATTATACATAAATAAGTAACTTACTTCTCTTAAAAAATCAACTGTGACATCTTGCGAATTATGTAAACATTTTAAGACAACTGGAAAATTTTCGTAATCCTCAGCCCAATATTTACTTCTTCTCCATTTATTATTTTCAAAATCCCATTCTTCTATATAACCATCTTTCCAAATTGCTTTATAAATAGTTCCAAATCCTCCCTTGGCCAAATACTCAACATTTTCAAATCTATCATATTCAATCCACTCCAAAATTTTCTCATATCTATTAGCTTTAAGTTGTGCTTTTTGAATAAGCTTATCAATTTCATTATTTCCACTAGTCCAATTTTTGAAATTTTGTTGAAATTTACATTGACACCAAGCAAAAGTAATTTTAGGCTGCTTACAATCTTTGCATAAACCATTCCTTTTATAACGTTTTTTTAATTCTTCATTTAATATTAGCTTATCAATTAACAAACTTTGTTTATTTGTTAAACGCCGATGCTTAAAATCTTTTATTTGCTTAATTACATCGCCACTGAGCATAAATTCTTTCATATTTTTGGATAATAAAAGTGATATTAACTTTATGTTTAAACAGAGTAAAAGGACTTTTTATTTTTTAAAAAAAAACCCACGGCATTATAAAACGTATTACAGTCGCACAGCAGCGATCGACAAACCTTGAAAATCAGCTGACGAAAATAATTCCGTTAAGAAATTTCTTTTTATATTCTACGTAATACAAATTTCGCAAAAAATAATCGCCAAAATCACTATTTGTTATTTATTATTTGTGATCATTATGAGGTTACTGTACAGTACATAGATATCAATTAATTGGATAATATATTTTGTATAAAAATTTTAATTTAACAATTCTAATGTGATTTTTAAATTATTTTAATTTTTGATGCATGCTATTATTGATAATGATAATCCTTTTATATGTTTAAGTTTCAATAAATATAAACCAAAAAAAAAAAAAATTATTTAGTCATAATTAGAAAAAAATGAATTCAATTATATATAATATATATGATCATTCATGTTCATGAAAGAAAAATTCAACCGCTGGTAAATAAAAATAATTATTGCTACAGTATTATAAAAAAATAAATATATAAATAAATTAAAATTTCCATTTATCTTAACACCATTCTCTTTATTAACGTGAACTTTTTTTGTTAATTTATATTTCTTTAGTGCTTCCAAAGCGAAATAGTATTTAATAACTACATTTGCATAATCGTGTAAATGGTGCCAGGGGATAATAGAACGACGACCATCATTTAAAATGCTATATATACAATTTATTGAATTTAATTTATATTTATATGAATTAAACATAAATAAAACATAGTAATAAATAATTCTTTACATAATATTATTAACAAGTATTAATATAAATCAGGTCATTTATAATTTTTTTCCTTTTAAAACCTCGGGTGCTACATGCAGTAATACTCTTATTCGCTGGTTTGCATAATCCCAAATTAGCAATATTGGCGTAACTGAGTAAACCTTTAATATGTTACCACTATGAAAATCTCAATTAGTTAATCCCACTTTATGAATATTATAAAGGCCATATGCAATATCACTCAAAATATCGAGCTTATTCTTCAAGCTTAAATAAATTGAAATAATTATCTAATTTCGTCTTAAATTACCATAATCTGCATACTCCATTACTATCAGGAAATTATTTGATTTAGAATCTTTAGTAATACCATAAATTTTAATAATACGAGCTGAATTATTTACTTTCAAGTGTGAATTAATATATAATATTACTACCTCATTTAAAAATTCTAGCGTTATATCTTTTGAATTATATAAACATTTTAAATCAACAATTATTTTTCCATATCTATTCCATTGATTTGTTTCATAATCTCATTATCTTCTTATTTAACCAATTATAATTAGTATTGGATTGTTTACATTCTTTACATAAACCATTCTCTTTAATATAATGTTCTTTTAATTTTAAATATTTGGATTTAACTGAAGAATAAAAATTGATAATTGATAAATTAATAATAAATGAAGAATCTTTTATTTGTTCAAATGTATCGATACTAATATATTTTTTTGTTCCATAATACTATAAAATTAAAATATTTAATAGGAAAAATACCACAATAATAAATTGTTTTGATATATTTAGTCCGTAGTTTGTAATCACTAAATGTCAAAAGTAATCACTGCATAATTTTATGAAGGATCAATATAAAGTTTATAAATGTTTCTTAACAGACTTATTTATATGTAAGTTGCTTATAATGTAGGCGTTATAAGACAGTTTTTTTTAAAGTAATTAATTGAGTGGCAAAAGAAAAGAAATCATAACATCTAATAAGTTCTATCGAATAAAAACAGAAATGATGGAAATGTTAAAATATACAACTACTTTCAATTTTCGTTTTGATTAATGAATGAATAAAGGAAATTTGTAATACAAATTTCACCATAAATTTCTCACGGACGTTGCAGTCACTGTTAGTGAATGATTTCTAATCACGTGTATATCCAATCAATTATATCACACGTGACTATTAAACGTGATCAATTTTTTTTTTTTTGGATCAATCATTCATTAAATCCATTAATTTCAATATTCTTTTTTGGTACAATTTTCATATCACGAAATTTTAGAATGAAAATAAATTAACAGTTTTCTCTTTTCTTTTTATTATCGGTCACCCACATTTTTTGAAAAGGAAGAAATTAATATCCTTTTATTGATGATATAATCGATATGTGATTTGCATGATTTTTAAATACGATAAATAATTTATTAAGAGCCGAGAAAAAATATGTTCCATTAAGTTAATGAGTCATTTTTATTAGACATTAACATAAGCGGACTATAAACAATGAACTCTTGCGTATTTGACTAAATCGGATAAATTGGTCTATTTCTATCCGTTGTTCCTGAACTGCAAATTAAAAATATACGGTAACTTGTTGACGTATTTTGATATTGATTTATTAATTTATCCTATCCTCAAATCTGTTAAAAGAAACTTTTTAATAATGATTCTTGGCGTGATAAAATAAAAACATATATATTAATAAAAATATTTATTTATTTATACTTTAATCGCATATAAATAAAGTAAATAATAATAATAATAATAATAATAATAATAATAATAATAATAATTTATTTAATAGCAAATATCAATAATCCAACTATAAATAATATTAGTCAATAAATATCCCTAAACCTTTTTGCGATATGACTGCAACGACCATAATTTAGTTTGACAACTTAAAATATACCGTATTCTATCTTAACGCCTTAAACAGCTAAATTTGGTTACAATATAAAAATCAATGGTATTTTCAAAATTTTCTCAATTAGCAAATTATTCATTCTAACCCAATACACAGTAAAATTCGATAAACCGGATCTTCGATAAACCGGATTTGGGCCTAAACCGGACTTTTTTGCTGGAACCAAATCACGTATATTAAAATAGGATCGATATACCGGAGTTTACTAGTAAAAGCTCGATATTCGCTATAACGGATCAATTTTCTAACCAGCAATAGTAAAAATGATTCGATAAACCGGATCACATGACTGGGAACCAATAAAATTTAAGTAACGTGATGCGGTAAATCTTAAATTTGGCCGGAATTATAAAAATCTTAATTCCGGCTGAAGTTAAGTATTACTTATATATCAATTAAAATATTTTATATTCATTTTCATGACCTCTATATTCATTTTCATGACCTCTATAACTTAAGTCTTGATGAAAAAATCAAATTATAGTGTATATTAGTTTTATTAGCATGAAAATTTTTTAAAAATTCAATATAATAGATTTTCAATATATCGAAATTTTTTCGCTAAACCGGATATCCCGATAAACCGGATATTTTTAGTGGAACCGATAGATCCGGTTTATCGAATTTCACTGTGTACTTTCAACTTCCATCAATAATCTAAGCCCTTCATCTTTTTCATTCTCATCTTCTTTATTAAATAAAATATTTCCTAATTTTTTCTTGGCGAAAATATCATTATTATTACTAAATTCAATAGCCTTCCTAAAATAATATTCAGCCTGTTTTTCATCCTTTTTAATACCATCATCACTTTCATAAAGTAAACCAAGATTATAAGCGGATTGACTATCATATAAGTCAAAAGATTTTTTATACCACTTAAAAGCTCTTTTTAATTTAATTTTAGCTAAATTATTAAGTTTTAAATCACTTAGTTTTTTTACTTTGGTAAGATTATTCACTTCTAAAGGTCTTATTAAATGGCTATTATGATATATTGAAGCCATATTTCTCATGGCAATTCTAGATAATTCTTTTTCTTCATCATTCTTAGGGTATTCCAATTTATTTATAACATCTTTAAATAAACCTTTTGCTCTCGTTGGATCAAAAAATAATTTACCAATAGAATGCATATAACCTAAACATAATTTTGCTTCAAGAGAACCTAATTTTTCAGCTTTTTTATACCAAGACATAGCTTCCTTACAATTTTCTTTTGGACCTTTCATATAATAACCTGCTAATGCCATCTTATATTTTATATCATTGTTTTTTTTAGCATATTCTTCCCATTCTTTTAAAACTTTATCGTCAATTGTATAAAAATTATTACTTTTATCATTTTCACCATTATGAATCCTTTTTATAAATACTTCGTAAGTACCATCACCTTTTATAGGTTCACCATCAACTAAATTTTTAATTGATTCATCTTTTATCCATTCAGGAAAATTTTTATTTAAATTTCCACTACTATTCCAATGACTGTTACCTTTACCTGTAATAATAAAAAGTGAAGCATTTTCAATGTAAGGAACATTTTTAATTTTTGTAATAACTATATTTTTCGCTTCATCAACAGATTCTCCTTCGTGAAAATCAATTCTAGCAGTAGATAAAGTAATCTTTGGATTTAATAATTCTGAAGTATTTAAACATTCGTAATAACCTAAAAAATCATTAACCTTATTTTTCTTTATCCTTTGCTTATCACTTGAAAACCAATCTTTTAAATCGTTTTTAACTTTACTACTAAAATCATTAGGAATTGTTATCTTATCTATAAGAGATATGACAAATTTTTTCAAACTTTTATTACTAGAAGGTTTTTCTTCAGTAGATGCAAATGTGATATCCATTTTATCTATTTCTGAAATATATCTTGTACTAACAGTTTTAAATGATTGAGCATCTAAACTTAAAGTATCAAAAGATAAGATATCGGAAAGGCCAGTAGAAATCTTATCATTTTCTGAATTTTCTAATGTATCAGTCATGTTACAGAATGTATGTTACAAGAAAATTGGTTTAAAAAATTATAATAAGTAAATAAACCTAAAACAACGATATTTTTTTTTTTTTTTTTTTTTTTTT